GGATATTCAATGGCATGGGCTAAATAAGGATATAATTCAAAAGAAACAGATAAAGCAACAAAAGGAAGGATTTTTCTGAGAGTAGCAACAGAGGAACCCTTGATTAGTGGAGACCAGACACCACCAAAACGTAGCCCTCAGAACTCCACACACTGATGAGAAGGAGATCAAGTTTGGTACATTAGTTAACAGGGGCATACTGCAAGGTTAAGACAACCGTCCCCGTCCCCTCTGCTCTTGGCGTAAGGTCCTGAACAAGCTGAGTCGCAAGCCACTACAAAAGGGAATAACAAAACTGCTATGCAAATCTGTTCCTGAACTCCTTACTGCTACCTTTTTTTCTCAAATAACACAGACAGCTCTCCTATTTTGCTATGGCATGTATGATTTCAGGCTCGTTGTGGTATGCTCTGTGCTAAACACTGTTCCAAGTGTACTTTCAGTCACTTCCCACATCAACCCTGTAAGGTAAGTCTATCCCTACCCAATATACAGATAAGGAAGTTGAGGCAAGAAGGGCTAATTACTTTCCCAAGGACCCTGCACTAGTGTGCAGTACAGCCATGATCCAAATCCCTGGGCCATTATTTTGAGTTTTGATTTTTTTCGAAAGTAGGTAATTTTTGACTTTGCAATGCATCCTCATGACAAGCACACATGATGCCTTCATTATGTGATTCATATATTATATAAAATAATACACTTGTTTCTACTGCTGACTGTAAATGTTAAGGACATCAACATCATACCACCTCCCCCTGTTTTTCTTCTCTCTTGCACACAATCCTAATTTGTAATATTTACATTATATTCTGTAAATCCTACAGTTACATCAGCTTTGCTCGTTCAGTGAAAGGATGTGAGAAACTAGGCTCATGGCCAGTCATTCTGGGTTGGCTGATGTCTTCAAGAAGATTTAATGTAAAATAAAGTCTCTTTAAGTTCTTGCTTCTTCAAAAATAAAGAGGTGACACATTCGTTCTCTAAGGACTTTGTAAGGATTGTGTCATTACAGCCTAGAGCTGAATATTGACATGAAATTTCATGCTGGTTCCCCTAAGACCTGACTTAGTCATTTTTTTTTGGCTGCTTTCTTTAGCTTTGAATTCTAGCAACTTTACTACGATATGCCTCAGTATTGATTGTTCGATGTGCATTTACTGAGACAGGTTGCTCCCCTATAATCCATACATTCAGATCTTCTTCTTTTCCTGCATTTTTTTTCTGTATTATGTATGTATCTTGGATATTTTTTCAGTACCTTTTAGGCACATCTTAAAATGTATCAAAAAGTACATTTTTTATAGATGTGGCCCTGATTCTTTTGGATCATGACACACCTTTGAAATCTGTCTTTAGAGGACCAGATGTTTGTCACTGTTTCATGCTCAGGTGATGTTGTAGGACAGAAATGAAGCTTTTCATAAGCTAGGTATGTATGTGTGTGTATCAGTTATTGCACAAGCCCAGTGGTTCATGACTCTGTATGCATGTTCGTCTCACCTGGAGAGCTTTTAAAAGCACACCTTGGATCACTCCAAAGCTTTGATTTCATTGGCCTGGGAATGGTACTCAGGGGTCGGCCCCCAGGTCAGCCTCAGGTATAGCCAGATCTGCTTAGTCAGCAGCATTGGGCCCTTACAGATGTCTGTCCTTTTGTTTTCCTACCACCTTCATGCAGGTATGAAGGAGTCCCAGGAGGCCCCCTCAGTCTGCTGTGCGCTGTGTCCCTGACTCACATACAGGATTGCTTCACTCCACTGAGAACATTCTTTATTTTAGAATGTCAGAATTCTGCTGGATTTGCTCAGATCCTCAGTAGCAGGAATCCTTATAGGAACGTTTCTGTTAAACACCTGGTCTTTTGATGTGTGGTTATAGTTACAGGTCTTTCCGAGTCCTTAAACATGCATTTCTGTTTCTCAGTCTCCCTGATGTCTGGATGATTTTAGAGATGCAGTGGGGTCTTTACTCTGCAGTCTTACAATGAGGGCTCTTCATAAATTTTTCTACTTAATGACTCTGGCTTTTAATATATTATAAAAATTGAGTTTTGGACATCATCAATATTACATTTTAATGAGACATAAAGCTACTTGTTAATGAAATTTTATAAATGAGTTGAAATTCAGTGTATTGCATGATGATTTGATTAGTGAGAAAAGCAAATGTGCTTCTTTTTAATTAATTATGATTATTTACATATAAAGTACATTGGCCAAATTTATGTGCATAATTAGGCACTTAATTGTTCTAAATTCAACTGCATTCAGATAAGGATGATCACATGTGTCTAATAAAATAATTTCTATTCTTCATTCTGGTGGAAACATTATCTTTTGTTGCCATAGAAACTTTAAAAATAATCTCCTAAAAGATTAGTTTGTATATCCACAAAGATATCTAATATCAGGAAGTAGTTATCAATTTCAACCTAACTTACAGTAACCATCTTAAATATTTTTTATTATAGTACAAAGTCAACCTTTTGCTATCTAACGATTAGTCATACAATGACGTTGAATTCAATCACCATTTAAAAAAAGAAGCAAACAGACCCGATTACGCTTACACAGAAAAGGAAGTCATGAGGAATAATGAGTACTGCCAACAAAAACAGACAAAATCTGAGAAAAAGAACAACAAGAAAACGACTTAATTCTCTATTATGACTCTATTTCCTAGTACAAACATAACTGGTTACAATCAAATTCAAAAGGACATACACTTTGTTCAGCCCATTAGTAAATATTTATAGAGGGCTCCCTAAGAGCCAGGCAGAGCCCGAGGCCCTGGAGACATGGACGTCTTCCTGTTTTCAAGGAGCTTAAATCCTTGGGAGATAAATGAGCAAATAAACAGTAGAGCTACAGTAAGATTATTGCCTTAGTGGAGGCCTGTCTAGCCCAGGGCAATTCCCTCCTTGAGAATTGGACTTCTCAAGCCAATGCACTTTATAAAGAGACTTTCCCTGGAGAGAGATTGTTCCCTACATGAGTTGAAGTCATCATAAGTCACAGTGAACAAAGATGAATCAATTTCAGTATAATGCAGAATTTTGAGCTTAGCCACAATTGCTGCATTTGAAATGGTCAGGGTGTGATTTGATTTAGCACTATGAGTTTAAAGGTTAATTGTGCAAGGGCAACCTAACTCTTGAATGCTGGCCACTGTCCATAGACTTGTGTACACCCAGTTAGACCTTAAAAGCAAGCTCAGCCGGCTCCGACAAGCCACACATTCTAATCATGCCCCTGGCTGTCAGGACTCCCAGTGCTTGTTCCAGCAATTTACCAAATCTCTGTATCTCATCTCCCAGACACCCCTGTAATTTCCTGCTCATCCCTGAAAGTCACTGGTATAACCTGCAAAAGGCCTCTCACTTTTGAGACAGGGGAAGGATGTAAGATTGGGTCCAAAGCCAGATTAGTTCAAGAGAGTAGACCATATTGAAATGCTTCATATCTGCTGGCTTCTAAATTTTAGTGAAATAGGACACAGTATCACTGGCCAAAAGAGACAGAAAAATACCCATCTAACTATGTTGGGAGCCACTAGAAGGCATGTAAAAATAGAAGAATAAACACTTAGGGATGTTATTTGCAAAATTTACTTTTTTAAAAAACCAACTACCTGTATTTTTCAGCCCAAATTGAGTGTTATATTCTGTCCAAAGGCTGAGGTCTTGTGGTTTGATTCATATACTGGGGACGTATACCTCAACCAATGCCAGGACCTTCGCATACTCTTTCTGAAATGCCAATGCTTAGCTTAAAGTTCATTATGCAGTTGTGTATATAACACCCTCTGGAAGTTTCTATGACCGGCCAGGGCAAGAAGAGGATTTATCTGCCTCTTCCTCTGATGAGTGAAGGTGGGTTGGCGGGGTTTACGGTAGTTGCCATCTAGAGTGGGCAGGGGCCGCTGCTCTCTTCCCTGGCTGCGAACCCCCCCTTGTGCACCCGCCCACTGAGATGGGAAGCCACATCACAAGTCAGGAAATAGATCTGGCTCCCAAAAGAGCACAACCACCATCCTGTTAAAGTATTGAAAGGCTTTTCTCATCACATAAGGACACAGAGAGAAGACAGCCATTTGCAAGCCAAGGAGAGGGGCTGCACCAGAACCCAATCACGCTGGCACCATGACCTCTGCCTCCCGTGAGCAGCCTCCAGACTGTGAGAAATCAATTTATGTTGTTTATGCCACCCAGTCTATGGCATTTTGTTATGGTGGCCTGAGCTAAGATAGATTCTCAAAGTATAAAATAATTGTTTAGAAATCCATGCTTTTTAGCTTCAATAGTAAAATATACACAACTTCAATGGAATTGTAATAAATGCAATAATATCAACTAAATGGCAGATACTAAGTTCTTTCATTACTGTGTGCAATGGCACACTTCAGGACATAAAACAGGCCACGACTGAATGTATACACTTGAGCGCATGTTCACATACAAACACTTCCCATACACCTGTCACGTGATGCATGTAATTATGAGATGATGCACATTCACTAATTATTTCCTTAGCTGTCCTCTGCTCCAGGATGACTTCTCAGCTCTCATGCACTCATCACCCCTTAATATTCTGGCTATTTAACCCTTACCTCACCTATAGTTAGAGGTGGAAGGAAACCAAGCCTTTCTTATCTTTGAGCCAACAACCTCTGAGCTCACCATTCAAATACTTTCAAATCATACAACTAAGATTTGAAATACTTTCAAATCGTATAATTAAGAATCAAAATAGTCTAAAATGAGAGACATGTCAGTCCAAATAGACACTGCTGAACATACATAGACACAGACTCTCTGTTATAGAATGTAAGGTAGATGATATTCCAATATACGCATGCAATTAAAATTTGCAGTTGTGTTTCTTCAATACTATAGCTGGTCTTAACATGAAATATCAATTACGCAACTATTCTCTCTATTTCATTTCATAAACATTGCAAAAGAGAAACTGAAAACGCGTTTTACCGGTGAGACAGACCTATCTCGTTAAAGCCACTGTAGCCCAGCTCTTGCCTGCTAAGTCCCAGGTCTTCGAGGTCCATGCATTCGAACCCTGGGGGGCACTGGTAGCCTTCTTCGAGCTCTGGTGAGCAGTGCGTATCTGGGATAGCTAAGCTATTCCAGGTCACATTTCTGTAAACAACGTAGGAAAGGGTTAGACAATTTCAGCAATTATAAATGAATATTAAAATGAATAATGTGATCACTCTTCATTAATTACTGCTTATTATATGGACATAGATTTAGGATTTGTGACTCAAAAATGGCATTCGTAACATTAATGGCATAGTAAACATTCTCAAATGATACCTGATTCATCCATCAGCTATTCATCCCAATAGCTTTTTGAAGGAGTATCATTATCTCTTTTGTCATTAAAGACCAAGACACAGAGAAGTGTGGGAAGGATTTCCTATAGATTTGCAAGGAATGTTAATGTTGTCTGGGGATTCCTTGTTATTTACAAAATCCTTATACTACTGTGTGCACAAATAATACTTCTCCACTTCTAAGCAATATTTTAAATGGTGACAGCTATTTTCCATATGGTACAAATACAATGAGTGTCATAAATGACACCTGGTCTTCTTCTCTGTTGGCGGATGTGCATCTGAGGAAGAAAAACAGACGAATAAGGTGAGACTGAAGGAACTGAAGATACCACATTGGAAGGAGAGAGGTTCTGTGGTGACCAGTGGTAGCTCCAGGGATACTGAGTCTTCTAGGTGGGTGGTGACAGGACACTTTTTCATCCTGATGGCTCACAAGCTGGAGATCAAGTTGATACAGAGATTTGCAGTGGCTTTCTTGGGAACCAGCCCAGGTCATCGCTGGAATGGTGATTGTGGGATCTCATTCTGGGTTGACCTTAAAATGGTCCCCAAATAGCTGCTGAGGCAATTCACATGGATTGTGCAAGGGCTAAAGTCTAGGCTAGAGGATCTTGCAAGCCTTCTAAACCCATGATTTTATTGTAAGTCATTCCCCACTACATCAATGTTCCTAAATGGGAACTGACTTCAGGACAGTCTCAGTCCCCTTGGTTTATGGCCAAATTGAGGCTGACTTGTTGGGTCACCTTTCTTCTTTAATACCTTCTGATGTTCAATTGGCTGCTTCTTTCCCCTTATACAGTGTGCCTTCTCTAGAGTCTGACACCTAACTCTCTGCAGACACACACACACACACACACACCCATGCCTGGGGATACCTCACCTAGTTCTCTCTCAGTCATAAACAAAGCTCTAAAAGCCTCACCCACATTTCAGATTCCCTATGTTATTCCTTCAGGATTAGCTGCACACAAGATAATCTGTCTACACATCTCAGGGTATTAGTGTTTAAATAATTGCTCCTTCAAGTCACATTTTAGGTTGTTCCTTTGGACCCACATGCAAAAACCCAAGGGAAAGGCCCTCGTTGTGGAAATCACAACTTGGCCATGCCAGAAAGATAGGATTTTCAACAGAGATGCCCCTGATTTCTCCTCATGTCACATTTTCATGTGCAGCCAAATGTCCCATCTTTGCATAAGTCTAATGTGACTCTGTTTCTGATGTGATACCCATCACTAGAGAAAGTGGTGAGGGGACTGGGCTTACGAGTCACTGTGGGGGACTATGGGTTTGAGCCCAAGCTCTTACTTGTGTGACTTGAATAAAGTTCTAAGTATTGCTAAGCTCAGTTTCCTCATTTGTAAGAAAGGGAGAGTAATCATAATTCAAAGTGAAGCTTGTATGAAGATTAAGTAAAAAACAAAACAAGTAATGCTCTCAGCATAGCACCTAGAATGTTTCAAGTGCTCAACAAATGCTTATTGTAAACGACTAGCAATCATTACAGTAATAAAATGTAGCATGAGTCCTGCCCTGTAAAAACACAACATGAAGAACTGTCAAAAGAACAGAAGGAGTTTAGGCACGTGATATGAAAGCATTTTGTTCACAAAATTGTGCAGCTAAAGAACCTTTATAGATACTCAATTCTTCATGTATAACACGAGGGCGGTAAGGTAACGTTCAGAGAGCGAAAGTCTACTAGCCTACTAAATTAAGCATTTTTCTTCATTTCCAATACTTCAAAAAAGACAATAGCAGCAGAAGAAATGTCTAAGAAAATACTCTATCTGAAAAGGTTTTGAAAAACATTGTCTTTCAGTTATTTGGTTGAGAAATTGGGCTCTGGAGCTAGTCTGCTGAGTGTGAATTCTAGCTCAGCCCATATGACACGTGGGACTTCACCTACCTGTGCCTCAGTTTTCTCATCTGTAAGATGGTGGGAAAATAATTGTTATTTATAATTTGACATTTGTAGATGGCCTAGATTGAAACCCGAGTCCTGGTGAGTACTGCCCGTTTCCACATGAGCAGTTGCACCTACTTTGCAGAAATGTCTTAATGGTTGAATGAGCTGATGCATAACTCCCAGAATAGTGCTGGGAATCAGTTAATTGCTCATGATTCTTAGCTATTATGATTATTTTAATTAATTTACAAATATTAGAACACTTTTTCCATTTTGATTCCATTTTTATTTCATAGATTGGGACTTTCATTTTAATAAGCACAACCCTAAACAGCACAGATATTATTTTGAAATCTTTTGGCTTCAGAGACAGCAGATTTGAAACATTATTTTTGCCAACATCAAACTATTAGCAAACGCTTATTAGAGACATTTATTAGGTGACTAATTGCTCTGGAACTCATGTATCTAAAACCACATGATAATCATCTTTTTTTAAAAATTGAAATGAATAAGTTTCAGAATACATGTTATTTATCTCAGTTTCATTTTCTTAGCCAGAATCTTCTAGATTTTATTTTTATTTGTTAATGTTAATTATTCCTTGTTCATTTTCCCTCATATATCCATGACAGGACAAGGGGGCTATATGGAATTAAGGGAGTAGAATTCTTGCTCCAACCAGCCAAGTCCTAAATATAGACAAAGATTCTCCCAGTCATACCAAAATCCACTCATGCTTAAGTGGGTTTCAAGACCTGCATTTCCTACTCATAGTCACATTTCTTGAAAAAAGCATCCATTTGTAATCTCTGTCATTTAATTCTCAGTCCATTTTCAAGATCTCCAATCCACTGAAATGGCTCTTGCTTATTTCCACATGCTACATGCAGCTGGAAATGCTTTAGTTTTTATCTTCTGTGATTTCCCAGCAAAATTTGGCATAGTTGTTTCAGTGGTGGGCAGAATAATGGCCCCCGAAGAGGTCCACATTCCAATGCCCTGAACACATGAATGTATTAATGTTACATGGCAAAAGGGAATTAAGGTTATGATGTGAGCAAAGGTAAAAATCTTTAGTTTGGGTGATTATCCTGGATTATCTTGTAGGGCCAACCTAATCACAGGCGTCCTTAAAAATGGAAAACCTTTCTCAACTATGGTTAGAGAAAGAGACAGAGAGACAGAAAGACAGACAGAGAGAGAGAGAGAGAGAGAGAGAGAGAGAGAGGCAGAGAGAGAGAGAGATGGCTATATGCTTATGGAGGGAAGCCACAGAGACAAACTGTGGCTGGCTTTGAAGATGCAGGTTTTGTCCATATTTCTCAGGTCACTCACCCTTTCCATCTCTTCCTCCTTAATTGACCTTTAGTACTGAGTTGCTCTTCGATGCTCTCCATGCAATCAGATCCACTTTCACAGCACCAATTTTCTTTAATCTTAGATGTCTTTTTAGAGTCTGAGAGCTATATGTCCAACTGCCTGTTAGGTCTCCCCACCTGGCTACTCTCCAAATGCACCCAGCTCAATACCCCCCATCCTGAACTTGGGCTCCTTCGCCAGCAGTCCCCTTCTCATGCCTCACAGCAGTCTAGCACCATCCTCCGAAGCGTTGAGCAAGTCTGAGATTGTGGAATCACCTTGATACCTATTTCTCCCTCAACCTTCATAATTAATCATCATGGGTCCCTAAATACCCTCCAAAATATCTTTAAATATCCTCCAAAATATTCCACTCTATCTCCACCACCCCATGCAGCACTGTCTACTCCCCTAATGGGTCACTACAGGCATGCTTACTCCTTCCGTTCATTTGCTAAAAAATGCTATAGGCATATACTTACAGTGCATATAGACAGACTTTCCATAATCACTGTCCTACTTTAAGTCTGCCAGTGGCAAAATCTTATTAACATGAGTACAAGATTCTGATGGCTGTAGCTCCTCCCCTTTCACATGTCCTAGTGTCCAGCCTACTGGCCTCTCCACTGCCTGGTGTGTTCCTTCTACTACAAGACCTTTTCCGCCATTTGGATATCTCTCCTCCAATGGGGTTCACTTGGATAACCCTATTTTTCAGCCTTCAGGCTCCAGCCTGAATGCCATGTTCTCAGAGGAGCCACTCCAGGTCCTCCAGATTGGGTTAGGTTTCCCCACTGTAATTTCTCAAAGTGCCCACCCTTTTCACTTTTGGCACTTGGGACACGTGTAATTCATGTTTCATTGGATGCCTTCCAAACTGAACTGTTACCCAGTATAACCTCCAGTTCCATACTGGCCCCCACACATAAGGCTGTGAGGGTTACATTTACATAGGAACTCGGCAAGACCGCGGTGCTCAGTTGTCTGGTCGAACACTAGTCTAGATGCTGCTGCGAGGGTGTTTTTTAGATGTGATTAACAAATAAGTCAGCAGAATTTTAGTAAAGCAGATTGCTCTCCACAATGGGGTGGGCTTCATATAATCAGTTGAAGTTCTTCAAAGGAAGCACTGAGGTCCTCCAAGGAGGAAAGAATTTGGTCTCCAGACTGCTGTTGGACTCAAGACTACGACATCACCTCCGGCTGGAATCTCGAGCTTGCTGCTCTGCTCTAAGGATTTGGGTCTTGCTAGTTCCTGCAGTTCTATGAGCCAATTCCTTAAAAGAAATATTCCTTTCACATATCCATCCTATTTTGTTTCTCTGAAGAAACCAGACTAATACATAGTAGATGTTAAATAATTATTTTTTTAATAAATGAATGTGCCTTTATTTTTGCTATTATTTAACTCTATGGCACATTTGTTTGTTTGTTTCCTTGTTTGTAAAGTAACCACTGAAGAAATGCTTCAACAATTGGGTCCTGTTGGTTGCTATACAACTTTTTAGAATGATATCTAAAGATCA